AGCGGCCAGAACCTAATATGTATTCCTTACGCAGCATGCTCTACTCCAAGTAGAGGTTTAGGCTTATGCTATTTTGACGTGTTTTATCGAGCTTTCTTTTTTGTACTGCCTTTTTTTTGTTGCTAGCCAAACAGTGGCGTATTGGACACTGCCCTGCCAATTTGATACATCTTGTAGCCACCAAAACATCTGCTTGGAGATTAGAACCTATAGTTGCCACAGTGTGACGGTACAACGAGCCTTGAACCCGAGTTACATCTACTCGAACACAAACATCGAATATCTTGTTAGCCCGAGCTCGTATCACCGACCAAAATCGATCTCCTGCTTTATCCGAACCATAAATCACCAGGAGGTGAAACTAACTTTTTCCAACGACCTGGAAAATTCGTTATAACGAGTTGTGTGCCCGTGGGGGTAGACTGGACATAGATGGAACACCTCGTGGTCTAGAAATCCTCACAGTCTTGACTTAGCGCAGACCTTGGCTGGACCAGCGCTCGCCGGTGATACCGGAGGTTTAGCGTCTCATTGCGTGGGCAATATTGGGTACCGGTGCCTTTGAGATTGTAAAGCCCCTGTCATACACACATAGCCCAATATGGCCTCCAGAACACTGCCGAACTCCACACAACCATGGTTGGGAGTAGGTCGGGAGCAAGGTCAAATGTGGTTGGCTTGTGTTCGGAGTGGTTGGTAGTTGGTAGTTACTAGTGGGTCAACAGTCAGTGGCGACAGTCAGATTTGACTCAAATTTAACTCAAATTTGATTTGAGTCCTATCTATAGGTAGGCGTGGCCGAAATCTTTGGCGAATACCACAGCTTTGACTATCTAATAAGCAGGTGAAAGCTTCTGACTTGTTCTTGTATGTATGCATTGTAAAATTGTTCTTTATCTGGCGTAAAAAAGGCATTGCAAAAGCGAAAAGGCCAACAAAGTCATGCATCTCCCTGTAAACACCATACCGTCGCCAGTTAGACCATTGCGCATCACATGGACTTGAACTGCCTGAAAGATGTACAAAATCACCCGAAAGAAAGACTAAAGCTCAAGCCATACATCCTAGAGATTAGGTATTTCCGAGCTCATCTCGACTCGGACTGTGGAGGGATGAAGGAATTTCAGACTGCTTGAGGCGCTCCACACTTCTACATACCAGGGGGTCCCGCAGTTAACTAGAACATATCACGGATTTGTATCCCATTTTCTGCCCATCACAATCCTTAACACCTCGTCTGACGACAGGATACCAGCAGTCTGTGGGGCTCTCTAGAGCCGCAGCCTAGATACCAGGTTCCAGGTTCGCTGATGGTCAGTTCAGGATCGGCAAAATGTTTCTTCTTGACTAGTGTCCATATTCCCCTGGCCAATAGATACTGCCTTGCCACTGTAGGACCTTCTTGGTGATATATATTACACAGGCCTATGTGTCTTTATCTCAATCGTCATCGCTTTTGGAAGTGAGACGTTAATTGGTTTAGCTTGTCACGTCACGATGAAAGTTCTTCTCCTCTCCAAACACATGAACCGCATGACTGTTACCATGGTAACTGGTGCTGTAGCAGGCACCTCTGGTGTCGGATTAGATTATGTAGCAAGTCCGAGGGGCTGGTCATCATATGTATGAATGTGGTTTAGTAAGAATAAACAGAGCAGTAATTTGTTGGTCTAGATCATGTGAAGGTTAACATAATGCATTTGATTTGGAAATATTATCCTTGTTTCTCCATACGAAGATATCGAGACACAGAAAATATTGTCCATACAAAACTTCCTTGTCATGTGGATGATGACAACTTTTACGATGGGATAAGTAATGTTGGTCTGACTGGTATAAATCATGTGTACATCAAGTTGATACCAGTTAGATTGATGTTGGTGAGACTAGTCTGCCCCGGGCGTTGTTGAGAAGAGATAACGTTACATCACTTGTTCAGAGGCCGGCCTGAAGCCGTAGATATCCATCTGCAATGCGGCTTGTCCTCAGGGGAACTTTCTCTCCGAGCAGATGCACGGCGTGGGCGTGGAATCTACGCCCCTTCTTCCGTAAATAATTTCATCTGGTTGGTGAATGATTGAATAGCAAAGTTCTTTATAATATTCACAACCACTTGCTCAACAAGAGCCGACGTTTTGATGACCATCCCAACCATGGTCTTGAGAAGATTCGGAGGCCATGGTCGGTTGTGACCATCATGAGAGTACTGGCAATCGCAAAACCTTCAGTCCGCAAAGGCAACCATTTGGCACCAAAGTTTGTTTATGGGGTAAGACTGCATATGAACGGTGAAGTAATAAAAAATTCCAATGCAGCATTAGATTCTTCTAGTAAAACCTGTAGGTAAGACCTATCATTAGCCTATGTCCATCAATGCAGCGTAAGCAATTGGCCATGCATACATGTTGTACCTACATGTAAGATATACATGACCAACACTTACGTAATCATGCAATTATGTATGACTTAACGTTCTATGAAAATGCAACGTTTTTGAAAATGATGGATAAAGGCTAATGAATTTTACAGGAGAATACATCCTGCTAATATTTCTTCCAATTATCGCTTGCTTTGGGAGCTTAGCTCTTGGTAATTGGTGTCTGGTACCTACAACAAGGGTAGGAACATTCCAATATCAATTCCGTTTTTCAGGGACTTCTGAGTTGATATTCATAGTGTTATAAATTCATAGCGTAAGATCCTTCTTGTGATATATTCATGTAGGAAGCAAATTATGTTGGCATTATAGATATCAAAGCAGGAATGATTCTTGCTGTTTAAAATTCAGAGCTGTGTCAACAGAATGATTGTAGTGTTTGGATAAAATTCAGAGGGAAAAGTCTAAAATGCAGTGTCAAATTCAGAGAGATGACAAAAACGAATCATCTTTTGAACTGTAGCTAATAATTTGGCCGTTGGGCCACCACGGATGATCTGAGAACCAGTTTTCTCCACCCTTCGTGGTTTTCTGTTGTTTGATATATTCATGTACTTACTTATGGCCAGCTTCCCAGAGCATGAAATGATCAAAAGGCCCTACTGCTAGAGTATGATGCTACCCTGGTTTAGGCTTTATAAATCCGAAATGAACATGCAAAAATGTTTGATCGGGTAAGACCTCATAGACATGGCCTGGATAGAACTACTGTAGGCTTCATCTGTCCCGAAGTAGTCTGGCTTTTCCTCATCAGGTTGGTGAAGTTGCCTGGCGGTCTCTTGTTAAAAGTTGTCTGTAACAGCCTACTATGATGACTTTTGACAAATCCAACTTGGGGAAGACATATTCTGCTTGGATGTAATTACAGGAGTGAACTGGAGCTAGAATACCATAGATTTCATGCTACTCCCATCCCAGCAATGACCTTGGTTGGAGAGTAGTTGGTAGCAAACTTGGTAAGGTTCTAAATTTGTACCAGGGGCTTAATTAAATGTACATTAGTGTAGTACCAAAGGGTGGCTGAGGCATATTTTCTTGAAAATAATTTTTTTGGGTAAGAAATGGTAACTATAACATTACTAACATACATGTATATACATCTCTATTTTCATGACTTTTTTGGTCTCCAATGTCCAATGTCACCATTTCAACTGAAAAGAAGGCACCAGAAAAAAAAGCAAGGTCTATACTTAACTGTAAGTAGTAATTTTCAGTGACACCTCAAAATTCCCCAGTCACCCTTGGGTACTAATGTGGTTCTTTGTTCAATCAACCTTGTTCTAAGAAGACACACGACTACACAACTGAGAATAACAGCAATTCTCTTTATTCCACAAAACATTCAAAAATATAAACAAGGACACACTTGTGTGACATATCGAACCCCATCAGATCGACCTTATGAAAAATAAATCTGCATTTTTACATTGCACTCGTAAAAAAGGAATAGTAGAATGATTATACAGTTATGTCTCTTTCCAGTAAAGGTGCTTACTTAGCATGACTCTAATATTAATATCTTTTTTCAACCATAAATATTTACATACTTCCCAAATGGGTGGGCTTAGATTTACTGGAAAGATGATAGAGCAAGTTATAGATGATTTCACTCTCGTCATAGTTGTTTACAAGTTGATTTCACTCTCATGGTTGTTTACAAGAATACGTCACAAAAACACTGCTGTCCTTTTTTGGTGTAGAATGTTTCAAGCCGATGATTGATTTTCGTAAAACTTCCCAGGCAACTTTGATAACAGTCAGCAACTTTTTAGCATCCTCAGGAGGAAGATTGTTTCCGATCTGTCGTAAAATTTCTCCCCATCTCCATCTTTAAGACCCTATGTGGCATTTCCTTCCAGGCATTAAAGAAAATGTCACATGTCCTTCAGGTAGCAAACTCTTAACCTTCTCTTGATAGGAAGAGTCTTCTGTGGTCTTGAGCTTTAGGAAATGCTGGAAGGATGACCAGAGGTGGTCACCCATACCTCACCGTCAGCAAGAAAAGTCCAAACCAGTCCCTGTTCTAACTTTAAACAACCGTAAACCGGGCTTGCCACGTCTGTCCTGGATCTACCAATGACATTCAGGTAATCTGCGGCAGAAATTGCTCAGCAATTTTCCCGACTTGCCGGCGGCATTAATCGCGGCGCTTCAATCAAAGTTTACAAATCCTACCATCTGTCACACGCAGCCGATATAATCTGGCATTTCGGTAGCGATCCCCCGGAAATATCGACTTGGGAGATTTGATTGACAGCTGAACAGGACAGCAGAATCAAAGACCTCGAGTCAACCCTTTTTCCTTCTACCCCTCAGCACTGGAGTATGTCTATGGGGAATTGCTTTGTTTCATTGGCCACACCAATTTATTTCCTTGGTTCTCGGACATTTTGAAGCCAAGAGATCTAGAAACTGACGATATTCACCCCTCAAAACTGTGTGTACCTAGGTGCAGACTTCGCCTCAGACTTGAATTTATGTTATCTTCCAGTTACATGTAAGTGACATTTTTCACCTCCAAGGACCAACAAATTAGACTGGTGTGGCCTGTCACTGACACAATCCACCAGTGTCAGCTTTACATTATTCTATTCAATTTGGTAAAAATACATAGTGTAACCACACTTCAAACATACGTTTTTCCACAATATTCTTATTGCATTGTGTAGGGACAGTGGGATCAACAAACCAACTCACAATCAATGGGCTGATCTAGCCAATTAAGGAAAAATTATTTACTGGAAATATAAGATTTGAATAAAAAAAACATTGACAAATGAGCCTACAAGACAATAATAAAATCTACTTTGAATAAATGATGCTATTTTTCAACAAACATTAATAATAACAAAAATATATAAAAATGTGGAAGATACTTAAAGCTACACAGATTGGCACTACATTCAGGTTTGCTATAATGTACATGTATCTGATATGGTATAAAAGACCCTTTGAAGTTTCCAGAACCTATAGGGCCTATAACATCTGAGAACATTAGATTGATCCTTCTTCAAGCAGATAGATGACTGATATGAATATACATTGTACATGCGGACGTCATCCCAGAGGCTATTATAAATTTTCTCTCTTCTTCTGTCAGATGCTCTCGTAACATACAAAAACACTGGTCTCTTTGACTTTGGAGTGACAAGATTTAGCCAAAGATTTAGAATCTCTGACTAATAACAATGTTCTAAAGACAATTAAGATTGATATTAAAACAATTATGTCACAACAGAGATAATGATACAAAATATAGAATGGTGTTTAACATTTCTATGAACTGTGCATGAAGTAAAAAAAAATTGATATGTCGGGCTATTGACTTGATTATCCAGATACAAAGTGGTCAGTGTAAGAAACAATGATCAACATTTTGTAGTAGCATATGAAGGTAAAACATAAACAGAATTTTGCAAAAAAATATTCTATATTTCAATTGTGCACAAAGCCCATTGAGGGCTATACGTCCTTGTCTACTCTACTGTAGTTCTACACTGCCAGCATAAAATACCAGCATGGAATTGCTTTATTCTGATTGACAGCACAACCTGGCAAAGCTTGGCCAGGAGGGAGCGGAAATGGAGCTGTGATTTAGGAGGGTGGCTCCTGGGAAGGGTTATTACGCGAGGTAGACAGGGAGGTTGAACACTGGTACATTACGCTGCCAGTTCATCATAACACTCGTCACTTCAGCGGTGGAAAGACATTACATATTCCGAGTCAGTGTGGATGTCAATGAAATATCTCTAGAATTATCTACATACGTCAAGCAGTTATGATAGATTGCAAGACACAATAGGATAGAGGAGGGCTTGTTCTTCCAATGACATGTAAATTCAGATTTGAGATGCAAGACTTCTGACTTGGTGCCCTCGAAATTTGAAAAATGTCCTTCCACAGTTAAAGTGACCAATAGTACATGCAGGGGTGTGACAATACCTTCACTGGACGTCACTACAAGAAGGATATCATGTATCTAGAATATTCTGCCATCATCTCACAAGTCATTGGTATTCTTCGAGAAACCGCCCGAATATCATAGCATAACTTTGGTCCACAAATCATGATAAAGTGCAGCTTGCATATCATCACCAGTAAGTACCTCTCAGACACCTGATGGAAAGCCAATGACCTCTACCCTTTGCCCTTGAGTTTGCCCTTGAATTCTCCAATAGAATATTCAATACTCAGTGTGGAAAATCGTTTTCCCTCCATTTCACCTAAGTAGAGGCTGACAATCTTGTTTATCGTCCATAGCAATTCTGGCATTACCGGTCGGTCGACTGCGCTTATGCATTTGGTACTTTTCAACACAACAATAATCATACATCATATTCACAGATATATATTTTCAATATGAGATACATACTATATTTTAAACTCTGAAGGAGCTGAAGGTGAGTTCGTCAAGCTCCCGTGCCAGTTCTTTGGGCTTATACGGACTCTCCCCGTAAGGACTGTCTGGCGGGGTCCCTTCCACATTGTCCAACACTTCGGAAACATCCTCCATGTTGTAGAGTTCGTTCCCCTCCTCAGAACTCGTGCTACTGTCCCCCAAGGTCGTGCCCTTGAACTCTCTGTTGGGGTCGAAGGTCCGTAAACACAGAGGTTTCCTGTTGGGTTTGACGCCCTCGTACCCAGTAAATCTGGGGTCCGCGTGATGTGGACTGTAGGAATTTTTGTTGGAATCTTCGTAAGGAGTTCTTTGGGCGACGTTGTTATCCACAAACGCATTCCGGTTGGGGCTATTGTACGCCGCATTCCTGTTGGTATCCTCGTACAAACTCTTCCCAATAGTTTTCACAGGAGAATTCCGATAGCCGGCCGCGGCCACGTGCGACGGGGAGTTTTTCAGGTTCAACCCCTTGCTGCTATTGGTCGGGGAGGAGTGATGCGACCCGTCGTAGCTCACTGGAGAATCTGGCCTTTGGTCAACGAAGGTGACCTTCCTTCCATTTCCCGAGGAAGGGTTGTTGAAGTCCTTGATCTTCAGGATCTTGGCTTTCTCTGGGCTGTTCCGTACTGGTGAGTTGAGGCGACTGTGGTGGGATGGCGAGTTGTTGTTGCTGCCGTTGATGTTGGGGATGTGGTTGTTGGGCGGAACCGGCATCCAGCAGCGGTCCGAGTGGCCCAGGATGCGGCACTCCTGGGTGCAGCGCGACAGCACGTTACAAGGGGGTGGCGGCATACCTGTGGGCAAGGAAAGATAAAAATGTTACCATCAACAGGCACTGGAAAGTGTTTGTTTGGCATAACCTGTACACTGCCTTTTCTCAGCATATCTTTGTCCAAATCCATATATATATATATATATATATATATATATTTATATATATAGAGAGAGATGTTGGAAGTTGAAACACAGGACCTTCCCTAGGTGTACCAGTGTTATCAAAGTTTTTATATTATGAATGATCTGAAATCAGAAGATCAGAGAAAATGTGTTGCTACACTGTAAAACGTTAAAATCCATTTCCTATAACAAGTTCCTTAGCACCGGAAAACAAAGTACATGTACATCCACTGCCATTACTGGCTTATCTTTTGTTAGAAAAGCATTTCACCACTTTCCTTCCTAACATTTTCCTTTTATCCTGTTGATACAGAAATACAGTTTATGCATCACGAACGTTCTAACCAGCAGGTGTTCCGACAGGATTTACGTCGGCAGGAAACTGCCCGTAATTTCTTATGGAAATCGTAGCATGCCAGCTTTTTGTTAAATATACCGTCGCCTGCATCATTCTTGATAACTCCCGCATGCTTTACGAGCAGCAATTTGGTCGTTATTTCTGTTCTGCAAATTGTATAGAAACCAGAAAATCACTTCTGCTGAATCGGCGAGAAGCCACAGGGGTGGTGTGGCAATTTTCTGCAGCGAAAACGATAATACCACACTTCGCTTAAGTGCTGACACTTAGCTGTGTCTGCTTTTATGATATGCTACATTAAAAGCATCATTTATGGCACCCAAGGAAAAGAGAAAGGTAAAAGATACTGTTCTTTAACTACCAGAGGCCATCAACTACACAACCATGGTTAGGAAGTTTATAGGTGTGCCTGCGTGCTTTCCAATGTCTTTCATGGAAACATCGGCTGTGAATAAAGAACTTTGCTATTAAATACATTTTTCTGTCCTTTCAAGTTGAAATTGTGCTTTTTACAGTCCTAACAGAAAGAGTGAATTTTTTCACTGTTGTTGTAACAAGCACATTTTTAATATTCTTTATAACTAGAAACCAGCCTTTTTTAAATGTTGATTTGCTTTGGATGGGCACATGGCCACTTCCCTGTAGAGAGCACGTCCAGATGACGGGAAAAGAGCCGGCACAAAACACTTGATTCTTCATACTTAGACCTTCCATCAGCGGGGAAGTCATTTTGAGGCAAATTTTCTCAGCAGGGAAGTGTCCAATACTGGGAAGAAGTCATTAATGGGGTCCCCTGCTTTACACTGAGTGGCCGTTAACCCACTAGAACCTAATAGTGGTCATTTGTAAAACATTGAGTGGAGGTCTTGTTACAGTGGAAATGGTCTCAGTACCCATTCTGGGCTATTACATCTATTCTGGGCCTTCCTCGATCGTCAAAATGTGCGTCACAGAAAAGTTCTGCCACCGTGACCTTAAGAGCAGGCAAAACATGACCACCTATCGGATCAATGAAACTTGGTTTAAAAGAAGTGAATGTACAAAATGTACATGTACATTATCCATATAGCCAAGTTATGAAGCACTTAAAAAAGTCACTATAAATTGATAGACTACCAGCATGGATTTAGAGCCAACCAATCCACAGAAACACAGCTTGTAATAACAGCTCATAACATAGATGGCGCATTGAACAGTTAAAAGAACAGGTAGACTAAGAGCAGCAATTAATACTTGATTTCACAAAAGCCATTGACAAAATGCTCATGTATATGGTAATGTAAACTTCATCAATTGTATGTGTGTAAGTTACTGTGCCTGCTTGCTTGCTTGTGAGTGAGTGTGTGTGTGTGTGTGTGTGTGTGTGTGTGTGTGTGTGTGTGTGTGTGTGTGTGTGTGTGTGTGTGTGTGTGTGTGTGTGTGTGTGTGTGTGTGCAGTGAGTGTACGACGCACATATGGAAAATATTGGCTGTCAAAACACTAACTGCTTTTAGCAAAACTACATCTGACATCAACATATATTCAAATCAGTGCCATTACAGTGGTATCATAGATAACACTCACCACTGCACTGTATTACTAATGCAAATGGTCCAGTAATAAAAGAATGCATTAAAGACCACTTCCAAAGGTAGATGGGGAGAGTACATTAACTGGACATTGATACTCCTTTCCATTCAATTACCAGGTAGTCTCATCTGGCCCCACTTACGGTTTCCATTTCAGCAGGACTGAACATTAACTACACACTGTAATCTGTTCTTCCCTCCTACAATCACGGTGCCACCACTTTGTGTGAATAATACATCTTCTACCCACAGGGGTCTGCATGCCTTTTTCTGTGGGGCGTTTTAATTCACTGTTAATCGTAGCCAGCCCAATCTAATTCAATGTTCAGCGTTCTTGGTAAATTATTTGAGAGGCGTGATTGGTTGCTTTAACTCTATGTAGCACATTATTTGTTATCCAGCATTATAGATAAATTACTTGTATTGCAAAACCTGTCACAAAATTGCCTAAAAGTCACAATGGAGCATCCTGTTGTGTCTGTTTGCATCTTAGTTTTGCCAGACAACTCAAAAAGCAAACAACCCAATAAGTCATTTTACCATTAAGTACTGCAGGCACTACTAAATTCACTGTTTAACATTATCAGGATACCCCCATGCAGAACCTCATTTATTTTACTCCAGCCCGATGCCGCCTCATGATGGAAAACCGCATCCTTGCTCATGAAATATTGAATGAATTGAATAGAACACAAATCTGTGGCAGATAAATAAGTTAAAAGCTATGATTTCCTTTTACGCTCACTTCTGGTTTGGGACTGCATTAATATTTGGCGGGCTACCGCTTGATGGCGAGAGAGAGAGAGGACTCTTTATGATTTTCTATATATTCTTTTTATGTACAAGCTGTTCAACCATGTATCTTTGTTTATGGGCTTTTAGACATGAAAACTCCTTGAGCACTCTCAATTATCCAGGAAACAGGAGTAATTTGGACATGTGAAGTTGCCTTGGGCCACAACAATTTAATTTGTTGGTTCTCAGAAAAAATATGAATAGGAAAGGGGAAAAAACAGACTTGGGCATCCCATGATAGCCCCAAACGCTCAGCCATGAAGTCAACATACCAAGTTGGACCAGGTACAATGAACATCTTATTCAATTATACAAGCCAAACATACATCTTGTTAAAGATACAATCCAAACATAAATTTGTAGATATCCCATCTTGTAGATGTAATATTGTGTTGTGAATTTCAGGCTCTGTATGTGTGTATACCTATCACAATTTCCCCCCAGTTACACAAATCGTCCAGTCTCTGCTTAATTCATATACATGCTTTTGAACTTCAAATTGCTGCCATCTACCATTTTTTCTGAGATATTATTCAACTCCCTGCAAAGTGACTTTTCCAAACCAATTACTCAATCGGGACATCTTCCACTTTATCTAAATCCCCACACCGGAGGGAGTAACTAAGTTGTGGTGTGAGGATGGGAAATTTCCGCCATACATAGTGCACTTGAACATTTTGATCTATTGCTTTTACAGAGGCAGGCAAACTCAAGCATGTACATACATGATCTGAGAACATAACATTTCTTGCAATATATATATCCTTAATATTTGATGTACTAGTTAATTAACATCCTGAAGTGTATACCTGCAAAAGTAAAACATAAAATGGAAAGTGCACTGAAAGTTTATTCAAAGAATTTCTTTTGAACATATCCTCTACGTTTGGAGTGTTAAATACAATCAATCGATACAATTGAAGTATATCAATCATACTAAAAAATGTTCAGATACTATTGCCATCATTTCATACATGTATATGTAGATGGTAAAAGTCAATGTAGCAAATGAAAATGCACAAAATACACTTTATTTGTTAGGTAGAGGTACATGAAGATGTCAAAAACACTTGCACAGCTCCAATTTTACCAGAACTAACCTGCATATGCAGGTGGTATTTTGCGCCCTGTCTAGCAAATGAAGTGTTGACGAACATTTTATCTTTACAAAACTATCAGTTCCCGAATCTCTGCTGTTATGTTTAATTCATGGCATCAGGCATGTCACACTTGAGGAATGAGGCAGATTACTCACTGCTACCAATGCATGACATACCAGCAATTGCCTTCGCAGAGATTAACTGTGTAATGCTCTGAAAAGACAACACTGCATCCTGGGTGAACACTGATAAAATTGTTTTTCTTTCCAGCGATATGCTGACATAGACAACAGTGGCATTTAAGCGCAGATGAATTATATATGAAGTTTGTATGTAAATGTAGGGAATAACGATGCCCGAGTGAGCGGTGGGTGTATTAATGAACTCGGATGGATGATAAAGACGGTGGCTGAATCTGTGCTTACAGGGGAGTAATCAAAAACCCAATAGTCACTCTGAGGCATCTTTTCCCCTCATCAAGACATGATCTCAGTACGAGTGCCCAACAAGCTGCATAACCACAAAACTACAGGGTACAAAAGAGGCTATCTAGACAAGAAAACTGTTGCTCAAGCAACTCATATCTTTTTTAGTAGCTCTGCACCACTCTCTGCATGTATATGTATATCAGATGTGATACGATTTATGTATGTGCATGACCCACAACCATTTTGACAATATATAACTTCTATATATTAGTATATAGAATATATAAGAATATTTTAACTTTAAGATGACAGAAAAAACCCTTATTTCCTTAGGAGTTCAGCTGGAAAGAGAAGTGTGCGTTCAATGCTACACCCACACCACCCCCTGTCAACTGTGTACACAGCCCTAATGCCAAATTGCATGGTGGGAAACCTCGGCATTTTGCCAATCTGATTGCCATTTATGAATCAATACTGGGCTATCATTGAAAGGGAGGCACAACAGATAAGGAAAACCCTTCCTTATTGATCCTATAAGTCAATAACTGTCTTGACGCAAGGCTTTGCACAAAATATCTACATATTAAGAGGACAAATTAAGTCCGTTAAGTTTAAGAATTAATAGGATAATAAGACTGTTTCCTCCT